TATCTATAACCTCATCCACGACATCTTTCCTCCTTTGGGCTCATTCATGTGACGCTTACCGTTGCTTCGATGCCAACAGCAGAAAGCTGCTTTTGCAACCAATACCAGCGAATGTTTCCGCTTTTGCCGATACCGTGGCATAAGCCAGAGTCACCCTGATCGTTAGAAATGGTATTAGGAAACTTTTGCCGCTGCGGCAATAGTTATTTTCGTCGCCACAACCAAAAAACTTTACTAAACGTCGTTTTCAGGTTTTAAGTTCTTCTCTGACGATCGATAGTCAGTAGACGATTGTAACGCGAGAAAAGTTTTGAAAATCCATTCTAGTTTTGGGCCACTTTATTAAACAAAGCTTATTTCATTTAGCAGTTTTCTCGGACTGTTCGTTCTCATTGACTACTCATCATTGGCAGTGGCAAGACTACTTTAGGATATTTCGCATAAACCGCTGTTGACTACGTCGTATCTTCAGTTACATGGTCAGCAAAGTGTTTCATTCAATTGATTTTTGACCTATTCAAAAACTTTCATCGCATTTCGGACACTTCTTGCGAACCCAACTCAATGTTGAGAGTATAAGCGATTATTTCACCTCCAGCGCACTTGAGGTAAATATCACTATGACCAATAACATAACAAAAAATGAATAAAACCGACCGATTAGGACTTCGCACCTAAAGGACTGTAATCCGTGACAACACGATTGTCATAAAGTCATTCGAAACATTTTTGGATCATTCTGTCATACGAACTTCCGTAATACCAATAATCGTTTAATAAATATTTTAATGTAGTTATCTGTTGGAACCTCATCTCCTATTACCCTTAGCTCTAAGCTAACTTCTGAAATGTATCTATAGAATCAACGGCTCACTTTCCTCAGTCGTCTCACAATTGTTAGTCGGTCAGCATCTTGGAAGTGTTCGCATGGCCATTAATACTCTTGCAAAACGTTGCACAACATATGCATTATAAATTTCCCTGTATTTGTTTCATGCCCATTCGACTTTAGTACAACTGTTCCGTTTATACTCCTATACTCATCCTAAATCTCATCAAACATTCCACCCCTAAAAGGCATTGAAACGCAAATTGAAATAAAATGGCATAGTCAGTTCTTGTTTTGATCTGTGACCAATATCATGTGAAATTCTACCTGTCAAGACAGTTATACGTAGTTGTATGACATGACCTATTACTTATTTTCTCATTTATTTGCAATTATCTTTAATAAATGGAAACACGGGTCCGACATCATCAAAGAAAGCCTTCAAGCAAGTGACACATCAAATCGATTGTCCCTCAGGCAACCTTTTCCAAATAACTGGAAACCAATCACAAGACGACAACCGGTATACTTATACTCATGAAATGACCGTTTCGATGCATTTTTGTAAATATTGAGGCATTGTTTTAAAATTTTATTTTATTATCGGCGTCGAATGTTTGACGTCTTTTCAGTAACAGTTAATTAAGTACTTATACTCAGAAAGTACTAATAGAACCGTAAGTCTGAAAGTTATTCATAAACAGCAGAATACGCAAAACGGTGGCGTACGTTTGGAAAAGCCAGAAAAGATAATAGACGAATGATTAAGTAGGAGAACGAACATCAGTCAGCAATGTTACCACTTGAATAAATAATTTGATATGTTGGAAGCGGAGCTGAATTCTCCTGCGCCAGAAAGACGAGTTTCGAGACAAGACTGGATTTCATCATAGAGGGTAAACGACTCGCAAGAACACCTGATCGAAGGCAGGATGAAGTGAAGAATTTCTTGGAATCAAAATGCATGAGTCGCAGAATACACAGATTTACGAAGTCCTCGACATACCTTCAGTCACCAGTGATTAAAAAACTAATGATATTAGATGATTTCAAAATTTAGTAAACATCTGTAGACAGCAAAGAAGCACGTATCTATATGAAGCCTCATGATCAAGCATTTTTTATTCAAGATAATACATCTGAATTCAAGTAATTCGAACCGTAATTTTACTCAGATTCATTTCACATTGTTAAACTAATAGAAGAGCTGTTATTTCTTTGATTTTCCTGCTCCTTTGCCCTCTCTCTGTTTCGGGTCCTGTGCTACCAAGGTCAGGTAACATTTGCCGCAATACTGGCGATTGAAATGATTGGCCATGAAAACGCCAGCCCCGCAACTTTCTGCCGTACACTCCTTACGAAGACGGATGATTTTGCCATTTTCGTCAATCTAATAATGAACAATAAACGTGTATGAGAGTTTAAACGTGTAACAATGGAAAAACTCACTTTGTAGTATTTCAGAACAGCTAGCCTGACCTTTTTCTTCTTATGTTTGTTTTTCTTTGGGGTCGTGTACGTCTTCTTCTTTCGCTTTTTCGCGCCTCCGCGAAGCCTAGATGTGAAACATGTGTAAAAGAAATTTATGTACAAGCTACTGATCTACTATCTGCCAATCTCTCAAAGAAAATATACATTAAAATGGCGTATCAGCTGCACCACACAAAATGCAACAAATTAGTGTCTTACGACAGAATGATGCTGAAGTTTTGGGCCTTACCCTTACCAAAGTAAGACGGATGGTAGCTCATTGACGGCATAGGAATCACCGAGGCAGCAAATCCTGCGCTGCCCGAAGGTTATTGCACGATACATGTTGATGCTCTAGTAATTTTTAAAGGATAATCTTTTTTGCATATTAAAACAATGTAAACTTTTGTACACAATTTTTGCACAATACAACTGTTTTGTACTGTTTCTTCAGTACAACTAACAACTGATAAAAAACACTGGAAGTCTCCAACCCTCAACAATATATTCATCGTCAAAACAACCACTTACAAACAAGGTGAAATCTAAATTTATCTTAACAAACTGTTACCTTCAAACAATATCTACCGTTCAGAATACAGTGACAAAACTTATTATAACGTAATATATAAGATTCGTCGGTAGAAGTACACACGAGATACACATTCCGGTCTTTGAGACAAAGCCAGTTTCTTAGCCAGTTCAGTATCTAAAATTTTACTGAGTCGCCTTGGTCATTATATTGGTTGTACTGGAAGTGGCTCAGTGGCGTGTTGGTACAATGCCTAGGAGGACTGCTTCGAACTCCAGAGGTACCGGGCTAGATTCTGCTTGAGGGCAATCTTTGTCTTGTTCACAGATTTCTTTTAGAATTTACCGCAAACTGCTTTAGATGAGCGTTGCTCAGTCGGTAGAGAATTCAATTCAGAACCGAGAGATCCCTAGCTGGAGCTTCGCTCAAAATAACTCGTTTTTTCCCCTCAGAGGGTGATAAATTGGGACTGTTCTGCGGAAAGGAAACAGGATAATATAGCATATGCTGAAGACATGGCTCTGAATTCTGCCTTTAAAACAAGGCACTCCTAGCTGATCGCGCAGAAACGGAAATCATCTCCGCACCATCAACTTTATGAAATGGTTCAACCATGAAAGTGAAGTAAGACCGACACTCCAACTGTGACAAAACTTCCTTTGCCTTTCTTGAACTGCGGTTACAGGTAACTGAAAGTCTGTACGACTAAAAGAAACCAAATAACTCTTGAAATTTGAATATGGAAGCCTTATACTCCGAAAACAAAAGTCTAATTATTATTTATCTTATTAATGTTGTTCAAGATGTACGCAAATAATTTAGGGTAATCCACAAGTTTAAACTCTGGCCTTGCATTAGAGCAGTCCCAAAGGAAAATGTTAGCCAGAAAACGTGATGCCATCGATACTCATCGATCATGATGCAGCGAATTTCGTCCTATACGCCAAACAGAGAACTAACTAACTTGCGTCATTATGTGAATAAACAATCATACCTAAGAACAAGATGCAACGTGGACTCTTTCTGAATATTGTAATCCGATAGAGTTCGGCCATCTTCTAACTGTTTTCCGGCAAAAATCAATCTCTGCTGATCAGGTGGAATTCCTAGCAAAGCTTTTTATCCAAAAGAATAGGCACCGCAAAGCAACTACCTTCCTTGTCCTGAATTTTAGCCTTAACATTTTCGATCGTATCACTAGGCTCGACCTAAAAGCAAACAAATGAAATGGCTAAACAATAAAAAACAACATAATTGCACATACCTCAAGGGTGATGGTTTTACCCGTTAGGGTTTTAACAAAAATCTGCATTTCACCCCGTTATATCTAGACCTTCTGCGATCCGTAAGTTCTAAAAGAAACATCATAAACTGAATACCAAGACGAACAAAGGGCACTACATTAAGCCACAACTTTTGCTATCATCTTAAATACACTTTATAATCGACAGTATTTAGGGTAGAATCTCAAATGAAACGTGATCAAAATTTGACGACTTTTCAAAAACGATGA